TTTTATGTGTATACTGTATGTTGTCGCCAATACAGTCTGCTTGGCGAGATTTGCGCCCGCGAAACGGAAAAGTACCAATTAAATTTTTAGTCAGAGGAACTAAAATCCTGAATTTGAAACTCGTTGTTTTCCGACTTTACATTTCACAGACAGGTGAGGAAGGATTAAATTTTCAAGAATATATTATTAATTTTAAACTACAGTGTAAAATTTATAAAATGCTACATTCTTTTCATGTTACGAGCTTCACCATTCAAACAGCGAAAAAAAAAACAGATTTTTGATAATCAATCATTCAGCCTGATTAGCAAGGAAAGATACTATTTTTCACTGCGTTCAAGATCTTCTAGCACCTAAAATGTAAAGAAATGCGTTTATGTAAAATGTAAAATGCCGCTAAAAATTTACATTGGCATAGGTTTTTCAAATTTTTAATTAATTAAAACTTTGTTTTAAATAAATTTGGAAATCGATAAATTACTATTTTTAAAATATACGCTAATCTAAACTTTTTTCTTCAAGGGACGGGGACCTAATTGTACGTAAACTTAATTATAAAATTTTTTAAGCTGCAATTTTATAAGAATCAATCTTTTTATATTCAGATTATATTTGGTAGAAAACCTATCTCAGAACATGTTATAAAAACGAATATTATTGTGTTTCAGGAGTAACCTCCTTCTGGGTGTTTTTTCGAGAACAATAAAGCGAGGGATGCCTTTGTGGAGGACTTTCTAAGGGAAACTGGCTCGTATACACGTTTCACATGGGGAAAAAACCACGAAAATTCCCACTCAGTTAGCCCGTTCTCGGGATTCGAAACCCGGACTGAACTCCCAGTGTTCAGCGATTTTACTGCTCGATCAATGGTGGACTATAAGCTGATGGAGGAAGAAGCACTCCTACAAATTTTTTAAAGCTAAACTGTCCAATATTTCCTATTTTGCCTGTCTATTTAAAATATTCGTACAAATACCTCATACCTCTGCAAGGACAATGACGCCGGATGAAACTGTGAGTATTCTGTAGCTTTAGACACTCGGCTGCTAGATGCAGAGATTAGCAGAATGATAAATATTTCAGAAAATTGAAGAGATGCGAATTAAAAAAAATAGTATTCAAAATAAATAACTTAAATTTATGTAATGGTGGTGGGGGTGTATTGAGAATACGGCAAAGCACACTAGGGCTATCTGCCTAAGGAAAGGGATGCCTTCGTGGACGACTTTCTAACGGAAACTGGCTCGTATACACGTTACACATGGGGAAAACCACGAAAACGCCCAGCCAGCCCGTTCGCGGGATTCGAACCTCGGACCGAACTACCAGCGTTCAGCGATTTTACCGCTCGGCCGCTGGTGGGCCTAAATTTATGTAAATGCTAAAGATTACATATCAGAACTCATTTTTAAATTTCGTCAGGAACATGAAACGTTCTTTTAAAGTTTTGTAGAAGCATAAGAGGAATTTTCCCCAATAAAACGAGAAAAGTAGTTTTGTGTAAAATGTAGAAACTGCTAAGGGCTAATATTTTGCCACTGCAGAAAAAGAAATTATTAGATTTGAGTGGAATATATTAGTTTCTAATTCTAAACTAGATAGAGGGGCAAAAAAAGTTAAATCAGGCCAAGTTATTCAGTTGTGTATATATTTGTGTTGACAGTTTAAGGCAATTATTTTTATGCAAACACTAACACAAAGCAAAATGAAAACTAAGTTAAAAAATTTGATGTGTACACCACATGACTTCCTTGTACGGAATATTAAATTATACACATCTTTTCTTGCATTTCGTTTAAACTTATTGGATTGAATTAAATCTACTTCGTCGACAGAGCATAAACCACAATAGAATAAATGCACTCTTTAAAATTCACTATATTTGTTTACCATAGCGACACTCTGGCGCTAGGTTCACTTAACAGTGTTATATTTCGTTCATATTATACCCTCAGAATGCACAAAATTTATATCATTTGAAGAATTATCTAATTGTTACCACATGTTCTATTCAAATACTCTAATATATCTAGAACGATGTATAAAAGAAATTAAGCAAACAAAACAAAAAGAAACAGTTTTCACAGGCGATTTCAGTATATCTCATTCAATTAATTCAGTTCTCACTTCGCGACAAGACAAAAGTACATAAAAACTCAAAATATCTATATTAAAAATTACGAAGTAAATCTAAAAAACTTATTTCCTAGGAAAAATTCCAGAAAGGATTAAGCACGGCTTAAACGCAATAATAAATGAAGGCGTTATCTTTGTTGTTGCGAAGCTTTGTTTCTCTAGATTGGCAACAAATCTACTATTCCTGCTGTTTCCAATGTAAACTAACGTGTCCGCCGTATTATTTAAATATTAGGCTTAACCGCACTTAAACAGCTTTTAATTTGTTAATAATTCTACAAATATTGCTTGCAGATTTACTAAATGCATAAAAACCTTAACCAGAAGATAAGAACAACATTATTCAATCATTTTTAAAGCAAAAAATGCACAATTTACAATCATATAAGAGTATAAGAGTAAAGAAACTGAGATCACTGAGCCGGGTAATAGAGTGGATATATATATATATATATATATATATATATATATATATATATATGCGTTTGGTGCGGCCTATTGCAACCAAAATACGAGGTGCACATCTGCATGTTATAGCAGTCCCTATATACAAAATTTCAACGTTCTGAGGCTACTCGTTTTTGAAGTACGTGAGATACATACGTACGTACGTACGTACAGACACCACGAAAAATTCTCTTCAGAATTCATTTTAAAGCACTTTTATAATTTTTTTGGAGGAAAGACTCTTTTAGTCTGTCCTCAGGTACAGATGTCACGCAAAAACATCGTTAAATTGCATTCGATAGCAGTGAAAATGGATATTTTCGTTGAAATATGATGCCTGAAACTTTTCGCGATTACAATACTTCCTACTGTATACGAGGAAGTAATAATGCAAATTTAAAGAAGTAAGTATGCTATTATTATATTCATATTTTTAAGTGGGATAATAAGTACCTTTTCCTAATAGTACACAAGTATCCCTTAATGCCCATTATTATCCCTTAATGCACGCATTATTATCCCATTATTATCCCTTAATGCACACATTATTATCCCATTACTATCCCTTAATGCACGCAACTTGCCATAATGTAAATGCTGAACTTTCGTCTACCTTTAAGAATATTATTCGTCCACTAGTGGCTGAGCGGATAAGAAAGCTGAGTCCGGTAGTTCGATCTGAGTTTCAGATCCAGGGAAACGAGCTGATTGCATGGATATTTTTGTGGGTTTTCCCATGCGTAATATATAAATATGAGCCCGTTTTCTGTAGGGAGTCATTGACGAAGGCATCCATTCCCTTAAGGTGGTAACTCATATGTAATGTGCTTTATTCAATTAAATATACAAACTTCGATGCAAAACAAATTAATTATTTAAGAAGTCCTTTTAATTGGATTTTTCAACATCATTTTGCAGCAAGCTTTTGTATACTACTATTTTTATCAGTAAAAAGGGTTTTAAACACTTTATAATAAAGTTGATTGCAAAATTTCGAGCTACAATTATTGGATACACTACCATTTGCATTCAGAACAAAATACAATGGTTACGACGAATTTTTAATATAGCTTATATAGATTGCAAGTGTCTATTTCATTTTTAAAATTATTGAAAACTTATGAATAATGATATTCTTTTCAATATTTTGATAATTTTTGTTTTAAATCTTCATGAAATTAATGAAATTCTGTGGGAACATAATGAATGCAATCGTCTGTAGTTCCTTCTTTTTCAAAAAATTTATATAAACAGTAAAGGCTTCTTTAATTAGATAGGAATGGTAAGAAGTTATTTAAAAGCAAAGCATTAGTACCGTTTTTTGCTGGCTTCTATTTCACCAAAATTCAAATTCTAGAATCCAGAAACTTTAAATTTCAATTTAATATGCATAGCATATATATGCACAACAAGTACTATTTCTCATTATAAAACGTTTTCGGGGAATTTTTCAAGTGTTCACTCTTTTACACTGCAAGACAACTAATTTACGGCAACTTACAGATGTTAAAATGGAATCTAAAATAATCAGCTGCAATTTGTTTTTTAATTAATTACAAAATGAAATGAAAAAGGTGTCAGATAAATTTGCCAACATGGTTCAAAAACTTGTCATGGTCACCACATGGATTTTTAAAGAGATTCCTACACCTTAAAAGCCATAAGATCCTTAAATATGAGACTGTTGCAAGTATTGGGATAACTTATTGATTTTCAAAGCAATTACTTCCAACTTTTTACAGCTGATTACATAATATAGCTGCTTTCTGAAATAGTAATCAGAAAGTTTGTGTTGCCACAAATATTTTTATAATTTAATCTGCTTTGCGACAAAATGTTTCGTCATGTTTCCACCTTGCGGGCACAATTTAAAACATTCCAAACGTAATTTAATTTCATATTTAATATATAGCTTTCATAACATTTGAAAACTACTGTGAACGAAAAATCCTAGGAATTTCATGTTAAATTTTTATTTTATTTAGAGCTGAGTTTATAAAATGTATTTTATTAAAAAAATCTGCAATGTTTTTGTGCCTAAAATTTTTTAATATTAAAATATTCATCAGATTTTTGGTTCAGTTTATAGCGCCTATATAATGAATTCCATCAAATTTCAAGTATGTACCAGTAGCCATTTTTAAAATATCATGCGCGCGAAGTGGAAACATGACAGAAAAATTTGGTCCCAAAGTTACAAAAATTACAAAAATATTTGAGGCAACACAAACTTTCTGGTTACTAGTTCCCAAAACATCTATATTATGTAAAAAGTTGGAATTAATTGCTTTTCAGATAAATAAAATATCCCAGTTCTTACAGCATTATTCGAAGATAATAAGGAGTTTAAGGTGTATGAGCCCCCTTAACTAGATAAAGAAGATATTTGCTGTTACTTAGTCATGTTAGAAACTTACCTGGTGGTGTCTTTCTAGGTAGTCTGTTGGAATTATCCAGAGGTATCCCGAAAATAGGCCCTGGTGGTAAGTAGGATAGTGGTGTACCGGTGGCGACCGCTCGAAGACCAATAGCAATAGCGTCCTCGGCCGCTTGTTGGCGTTTCAATGCCACTTGAGCTGCATAATTCTTTGGCGCTCGGCGATGAGATTACATTTTGCACACGCGCATTCTCGAAATCGACACATCCGCTTATGACCCTTGAGCCATGATATTACGCCGTGATTCCGACACCGGGCACATTTCGGCCGCCGAACTCCTCTGCCGAGATCGGGGGAATCCATCCGCACGGGTTCACAAGCACTTGCCGTACGGAGAGGAGCCCTGGAAAGAAGAAACGGAACTCATTGCAGATTCCGGCTGAACGACAGAAAAATTTAATGTTGAGTTGCAGAGTTTAAATATCTAATACGGTAGAAGTCCAGAAATCCGCAAAACCTGGGACCAGAGGTTGTGCGGATTTCAAGACAGAAAAGATAAATCATAATATTCAGACTAAAAGTGCCAAATACATAACGCGTATTAGATACATTTAATTAAATTATTATGTACGTTATTGTAATAATTTATTACATGTGTTACGGTAAAACACCGAAATCTGGAGAATGTCGACTTTCACCGATGAATGTTAACATTCACATATTCGCTTGATGTATGTCCGAAATATTTTCCAAATACTCTTATTTCTGACTTACACCGGTCAATGTCGACATTCACCATGTACTAATGGTGAAATTCCCTTTTTGATGATATATATAAGTTGAACATATAAGAATATTATATTTTCTTCTCCGTAATTCAGTCGCGAAAGAACGCACTTGAGACTTAAAATAAGAACATAAGAACTTAAAACACACAGTGCATTCGAAATGAGAAAGGAAAATAATAGACGTTAAAATTTTTACTTAATTATACAGTACGTGCTAAATGAGAAAATAAAATAATAGTGATAAAAGACTTACTAAATTATGTGATTCAAATCTTATTTATTGCAACAACTTAAACTATTATGACATTTTATGACCTTTCTTTTCGACCTACACCAGAGCATATCTGTGATTGTCGACATACACCGGTGAGGGTCCGAATGTACAAGAATGTAATGCAATATTCGATCTTTCACCGAGGTATTTGGTGAATGGTGACATTTTCCGGTTGAAAGTCAACATTCTCCAAGTTCGGTCTTTCACGGTAACATATGCATTAAATTATTATTACATATATAAATTGATTATATTATTCATTGTATTATTATATGTACACAGCATCGAGGTTTGCCGATTTCGCCTCATGCAAAGATTTCTTGTTTCGGATTCCGGTGTTAGAATTACTGTTACTGTAAAATTTCAACAGCTTTTCAATCGTGTCGCAATTCCGTACGATTCTGCTATAAACCGAGGAGTAGCATCTGCCTCCATCTTTTGCAGAATTTGCACTTTTTCCATTATCGTCAGTGCAACATGTTTACGTTTTTCAACGTTGCAAGCAGTAAAATCGTGAGTGCATTTCATATCTGTAACTGTATTAAAAAGGGCTGAAATTTGAAATATTCTTAATTTATCCACAAAATATCCGGATTAAAAAAAAAAGGCAGCAATAAATAATCTCGTGAAATAACAAAGCTCAGAAAATACAACAATGTGAATCGTGAACTTAAGAGTTGAGTGAATCCTCTGCTTTTTTTACTTCGATGCAGATTAGAGGAGAAAAACTTTTATCATTATGTCAATAATTTGGTATTTCCGTTATGGCTCATTATTATTCGGTAATTATGACGTCATTATTCGGTAAGTATTTTTTCTTCGATATTTCGTACTCAATGTTGCGGGTTCCGGAACCTATAAACTGAATGTTTACATTTTGAGAGGCAACGCAAATTTCAGGAGTTGGCGGATTTCAGGTCGGCGGATTTTCGGTATTTGACTGTATCTCGTTCCTTTCTCCAAGACAATATAATTATCATTCCCTTTTTTCACTTTCGATTAAAAAGGTTTCACTTCTATTTGCTAGTATATCGAAAGTCATGAAAATAACATACAGTAAACGATAAGATGATCACAACAACTGCACCAGGCTATTTATCATAAAACATTAGGAAAAAAAATCTTGTTACTGTATTACATAATTAACTATTAACATGAAAAGATTATGTTAATTTTATTAACAGTTAAATTTTGACTATTAACAGTTAAATTTAACAGTTAAAACTTCCTTTCCTATCGATACTTAATTTCAACTTACCACTTCCGACCAGAACGTAGTTTTAGAATCACGTTTGTATGCAAATTGAGGAAGAGCGGTATTTAACCGCAAAGTTCTACTATCTTAGTCAGAGAGAACCAGAGATTCTGGCTAGCACGCGTCCGTCTTTTTAGGCTACTCTCTCTTAAGCTATTGTTACCCTCGACAGCAGTTTAGGTCCTTAATAGCTTCGCAGTCAATTAGCGTTAAGGGGCAAACTCCGTTAGAATCTTGATAGCTTCGGCTATATCTTTTTAGTTAAGATCCATTATGTTTTAATACTTAGTTTCCTAAGCCCGAGTGTCGGCTTATTGTAAAACTCCAGGACAGAGTTCTGTTAAACTTGGAATAATAAAGGGTTATTTCACCCTTGTTGTTTTGTACCCTACGAACTCAAGCTTACTAGTTCTTAAGATTCTTCACATCCAACTTTAACTTAGAATTAAACAATGGGGAATCCTACAAATATTTGACAAGTTCTTTAGAAAAGACATGGGAAGCAATTATTTTGAAGTACTTCAGAATTTATTTCAAGGGGTATAGTGCAATATGTTTGTTGTACTGTTCCACTTGATGAAGACTTCAGGCTTTGAACTACAAAGCACAAGTATAATTTGTACAATTAGGAACCTACACTAATTCCTAGACATCTTTTTTCCAATTAACGAGGTTATTTAATTGCTGAAAGAGTTCTCATTCCTAAGTAGCGAATGCGACTGATTGTAAGTTTTCTCGTTATTACTTTCCGCACCAAACTATTTATTTTGTTATTCGTTCTTGTTAACTTTTCCTGTGTTTTTCTTGGTATAGTTTAGTACTAAATTTTACTGAGCTGCTGAAATAGATTTCATATTGTTCGCCTTAACTCTAAAAGATTCTCACAAAAAACACATTTAAAGTACTTATTGCTGCAGAAGATTATTAAAAATAAAAAGCTGAACTTTTAAATAATCACGAAAATAAACTGTAAAAGGCATCTTCATAGTGACAGCTAAAAGAATTCTTAAATTTCGTTTTATCGAGTGGGATCATTTTAAAATTCCGGGATTTCAAGCATAAAGTTTTGATTACGTTTTAGGAAGAAATAAAAAAAATTCGCTTAAGTGATAAGTATAAATTTAAAGTATAAGTAATTTAGAGTAGTATGAGTAAATGAGAAATTTCAAATTGCCACCTAATCGAATAATCAAAGAATAAAGGAGACTCATATACCTTAAACTCCTTATGATCTTCGAATATGTGACTGTTGCAAAAATTGGGATATTTTATTTCTTTTAAAAGCAATTACTTCCAACCTTTTAGTACATAATATAGCTGCTTTGGAAACTAGTAACCAGAAAGTTTGTGTTGCCATAAATATTTTTATAATTTAATCTGCTCTGTGACAAAATTTTTCGTTATATTTCCACCTCACCTTGCGCGCATGATATTTTAAAAATAACTAATGGTACGTACTTGAAATTAGATGGAATTCTTTATATGGGCACTATTTTCTAACTGAACCAAAAATCTGATGAATATTTTAATATGGCTTAAAAATGGCTTAAAAAATCTGAAAGCCTTCAGATTTTATGTTGCAGCCAAAATGGCGTTTTTTAACATTTTGTGTGTTACCTTTATTTATTAAATATCATGTTCTTCGTACACAAAATTCAATTTAACAGCAATATCGCAAAATAATTTTAAAATGAGCGTATCTTTAGAATTTCCGATAACAGTCTCGAGATAATTTTTTTTTTTTTTTTTTTTTTTAATTTGTTCAGTTTCTTAATCAAAAACTCGTAAATTAACTCGTAAAATAGGAAACAGATAATAAAACAAATTCCAAATTTCGGCTTCCAGATGCTTATATTTGGGTGGAGACGTACGTTATTCAAAATTGGATCGCTCTAGGTGTCGTTGTTTTATCACAGTGCGAGAAACATACATACAGTCATGCAGATTCTTTGTTATTTAATTTCTTTAAATATAATATGGGGCTCTTATATTGGATGGCAACAATTTAAAAAGTGATTCGCCGTTTATAGTGAATCAACGTATAATGCCAAAACGAAATTAATAGCTCTTCTGGGCAAATAGCCCCTTTGGGCTAAAATTTTATGCACGAAAACATTACAGATTTTTTTTTAATAAAGTACATTTTATAAACTCAACTCCAAATAAAATAAAAACTGAACATGAAATTCCTAGTATTTTCGGTTCACAGTAGTTTCCAAATGTTATAAAAGCTATATTTTAAATGTGGAATTAAATTAGGTAGCAGAATGTTTTAAATTGTTCGTGCAAGGTGGAAACATGACAAAAAAATTTTGTCACAAAGCGGATTAAATTATAAAAATATTTTTGGCAACACAAACCTTCTGATTATTATTTCAAAAAGCAGCTATATTATGTAGTCAGCTGTAAAAGGTTGGAAGTAATTGATTTTAAAATAAATATGTTATCTCAATTCTTGCAACAGTCCCATATTCGAAGATCTTATGGGTTTTAAGGTGTAGGAGTCTCCTTAAAGAGACATTTAATTAATTACTATGCATTGTGTGGAGTAGTTTACAGTGTTTAAAATTTTGCATTAAAAATGGGGTATTTTACCTTATGTATATATTTATATATTCAAAAACTCTTTGCTCTCTCATTTATAACTGAAGAATTATGATACAGTTTATATAAAATGTAGTAGTATACTCAGTAATAATTACTTCAAATTTCACAACGTCCCCAGTCCATCGGTCAGCACACGCCATGGAACACATACGTGTTTGTGTCAGCCCCGTCAATTGAACTCGCCTTCTTCGGTTTTTGAATGTTTCCAAAAAGCAGAGCAAACATGCATGAAAACTTTTTTGAGAATGGTCAGGCGGTGATTTCAGCAGAGCATGAAGAACTGATGAAACTAGCCTCTTCTGAATTTCAGAACTGAGGAAACTAGCCTCTTCTGAATTTCAGAACTGATGAAACTAGCCTCTTCTGAATTTCAGAACTGATGAAACTAGCATCTTCTGAATTTCAAAACTGTTTTCGAAATGGCTGTACAGGCCTCAAGAAGTGCTGACGTTCAAAGCGATTATATAAGGAAG